TTCAGAAAGTTCCATTTTCCCCGGCATGAATGAAAAACAACTGCATAAAATAACAGTATTAACAGATTTTAAAGAAGGTACATTATTTAACTAAAACTCTGGCAGATAAATAATATTTCTTGTTCAAATCTTTATCTTGACAATCAATGACTGAACAAATATGAATATTTTCCTCTGAATATAATTAGGAAACACATAACTGCAGAATGCTAATTTATATATTTTAACATAAAACTCTTCTGCTAGTATAAATTTTGTTTTTAGCTCGACTGTCTTTTCCTCAGTGGAAGTAAAAAAAAAAAAAAATATACTAAAACATAAACCATCCTCGTGATGACAATGGAACTTTCTAAAATGCTTTTTAAAAATATTTCTATTTTCTTATTTACCATATAATTATGTTATAATGAAAAGTTTCACAATTTTAGATGATGATACTCATAGCTGAAAGATTAAAACAACCGATTTTACACAGCTTCCCTTTCTATAAATTAACTATTTTTTTTTTTTCAATTAAAGTTTTCATTTATTTTTGATTATTTATTTCATACCTTGTACAATTATAATCGTTTTATTCTGTTAATGTAATTCACTGAAAACTGCTGTATTACTTATTAAATATGCAAAAATTTAACACATTCAAAATAAACTGCCTATATAAAGCAGAGTTAACATGATCTCTCATCAAATTTTATAAAGGAAAACTCATTATTCATTTTAGAATTCGGAAATTAAGAAAATGTAAGATAAGTTAACGTATTTAATGGGTGTCCGCCGATAACATTGCGGCAAAAACATCGCGGACGAAAACGTCGCTGAGAAAACAACGCAAGACGAAAACGTCGTGCTACAAAACATCGTGGGAGAAAACATCGCGGTACAAAATATCGTCGTCGAAAATAAAGCGATTCAAAAACTTTGCAGTTTAAAAACATCGTCGTCGAAAATATCGTGGTAAAAAATAAAGTATCTACAAATCATCGCATGACGATAACATCGCAGACATGCTTTTTTCAGGTTTTAATAATTGTAAATGGATATTCCCATAATAATTTGTGAGCGCAAGATGTAAAGAAGGATAATTTTTACTTTCACATTTTTTTATTAACTAATAAATGTTTTGCTGAAAAACGTTAAGAAGGAAACTTAAGCATAGAAAAATAAATGCAACTTATAGATTATACCTTTCACGAAAATTACCAGTAAAAACTTTATAAAAAATGGGCCTTTGTTAGTTAACTACGTCATTTTAAAATTCTATTAAGTGCTATAAGTTGCATTAATTTTTTATGCTTAAGTTTCCTTTTTGTTTTCTCAGCAAAAATTTATTGATTAACAAAAAATATGAAAGTAAAAATTATCCTTCTTTCCATCTTGCGCTCACAAATCATTACCGGAATATCCATTTATAGTTATTAAAGCTGAAAAAAGCATGTGTGCGATGTTATCGTCATGCGATGATTTGTAGATACTTTATTTTTTACCGCGATATTTTCGACGACGATATTTTGTACCGCGATGTTTTAGAACTGCGATGTTTTCTCTTTGCGATGTTTTCTCCCACGATGTTTTGTAGCAGGACGTTTTCGTCTTGCGTTGTTTTCTCCGCGACGTTTTCGTCTGCGATGTTTTTGCCACGATGTTTTCGGCTGTAACCATTTAATGTTAAGGAATGTAAGACAAGTTAGTTATTTCATTCTTTTTATCTCTTCATATAAGAATTAAAAAGAAAAATCCTAGAAAATTATAAGGATTTTATATTATTACTAGAGAACAAGTTTGATGAACATTTATAGATTTTTAGTACACCATTTTATAATAATAATTTTGGCATTATGTTTAATAATTTTTGTATAAATATGTTTTTAGTATTTCAGTAAAACATGATACATAAAGTTAAATTAGCACGGTGACTTTTTTCATTGTGAACTTTATTTACAATATTTAAATACAAACAATCTTTAACTATTCACATATGTTTATAAGTAACCACATAAATAGTTTAAATATAATTCATATAATTAATATTACAATGTTATAGCTACTATATATTATCTATCAAAATAAATATCTATTTCAGTTTATTTATTTCAGTTTATTAATTTCAATTGAGCACACTTTGTTGAATTTGACACTTCAAATGAGAACATGCAGACATTCAAAAGCATTTCTTTATACTGTAAAAATCAGATTCAAAAGCAGACAAACCAGAAGAAATGCATACAAAATACAGCAAAACTTAACTGTGCAAGACACCTATATACCACTGACCTATAAAAAATTTTATTTCCATGTAAAATTCATTTTTACATTTGTAAGTGCAAATATGTAATGAATTTCACTCTCTAAAATTCTACTAGAATGAATCTATTTTGTCTCTCTGTATATATATATATATGTATATAAATTACAAACTTGAAACTAAAGCAAATAGTTATTTTGTACATTATGCATACACACTCTTTCTGAGATCAATCAAAACAGAACAATAAAAATGCAAACAAGAATATATATGCATAATGAGGAAAAAAAAAAAAAAAAAAAAAAATTTCTTGCCTACTGCCATTTTTAAAAAAACACATCACAGCAACAGCAGGGAGGGGAGAGAAATCATACAAAACATTACTTCTCATATTAATCTAGAGCACTTCGAAAATTGGTTTATAATTAAAAAGCAATATTGGTCGGTCCTTAAAAATATACATATTTCATATACATATTACCACTTATTACTCTCTTTAAATCAAAAAGCCAAATAGTTACAAAAACATATCATATGTCGTAATGCCTTTAATTTAGGCTTTATATTGAACTTTTTTCATCCCTTTTTCAGAAGCATCTGCATAATGAAATTAAGGTATTCTTTTTTATTCCTCTGCAAAACTTCTTATATAATCTATAAATCTTGACCAATTTTGTTGTAACAATATAACTTTTTTATATCAAACAGCACAAAGCATATTGGATTTAAATAATAATTATTAATTGTCAAAAACATGAAGAAAGATCTGTTTACTCTTTCTGATTTCTTAAAATTTTAAGCAACTTCCTTTTAATCACCTAATTAAAAGTTTCTATTTAATCCCACATTTAATGCATAAAAAAGGTATGGTAAAAATGGTAATATTTACAAAATGGAATGCAAGCACTTTTTTAAAATTCTTTTAACTAATGCAGTTTCTTAATTTGAATTTACAGGGTGTATCAGTGACAAACTTTCAGGAGAGATAGAGTACACCTAGATGATGGGAAGTCACGTAGGAATGCAGGGTTGGAAACGCTTTCCTGGCGCTGTAGTGGCGACACAAAACGGAAAAACAAGGAGGGACACAAACAGTGAGAGAAAACATGTTTTATTATGTTTAATACAGCAGAAAATTCCAAATAAGAATAAAAATAAACAATGATCGTCATTAACGAAGATGTTTGAAATTACGACCCCAGACCGTGCTGCAAGCCTCACTTCTCTAGCACATGGAATATCTGCATTACGAATAGAAGATGCATGACCCACGGTTCCTGCATCACGCCTGGGTTGTAATTTCAAACACCTTCTTTGATGATGATCGTTGTCTCTTTATGTTGTTTTTTCTTTGTTTTTGTTGTACTCCAAACAATAAACATGTTTTCTCCCCCTGTTTGTGTCCTTTCTTTCTTGACATATGTGTTGTCACTACCGCCAGGAACCCGCTTCTGACCCTGCATTCCTATGTGATTTCCCATCGTTTAGGTGTACTCTATCTCTCCTGAAAGTTTGTCATTGCTGTACTGATATACTATATATTAATTAAGATCTTAACTCATTAAATACAATGACTTTTTTTTTTCCTTTCTTTGCTTCCACCTCCATAATTCTTCATACTTTTACATGTATATATCATAATATCTAAGTATTAACTTGCGGTAATGATGGCCATGAAACTTTTTACTAAAAATAACATTCAGTTGCACTGCAAAAGGAACTGTATAATTCCTCATAATGAATACAACATGCTTACCACACAAATATATACTTATTGTTGCAACTATTAATATGAGTTATACTTCTTAAAACTGTCATCTATATTTGCTATATTATGTTGCCTTTTCTTAAGGTAACATAATGCAGAAAATTTTTTAGATTTAATATAAAAACTTCACAGTATTTCTATGAATTTGAATTTATGTAAGTTATTAATAATCTAGATCATCAAATTTTAATTTAAATGAACTATACATTTAACATAAATTTTAAATATATATTTTTTTCTCAACCTAAATGGAATTCTTCTGTGAAGTATTCTCATTTCCAGATTTACTCAACAAATAACTTCTCTAAATAGTCACACAATAAGCAAGTACAATGAAAAAAGAAATTATACTCTGAAAACCAAAAACGTGGAAAAGCATGTTCCCTATTTTTATTTGAAAAAAAAAAAAAAAAAAAAAAAAAAGATATATATATATATTTCAAATGTGCTCAACTAAAGAACAGTCCTGGAAATAGTCTTATATTTTCTACTATTCTAACAAACCCAAACACAGATGGATTTCCATGTGAAATAAAAAAGGCAGCTCTAACAGAGCTACTAAAACACTTAAAATCTATGCACATACTTTAACAGTAGCATAGCCAGTACTTTTAAAAACTGGAAGTCTTAAGTTTGATCACGTTGTTTCATAATGTTAATGCTTTATTTTTATTGTTTTCAATGAAGTATATTAAACAGATGCAGAAGTAGTTTGATGAAATAACAATTCTTCATTACAACTTGAGAGAGAGCACTTTTTTCCCCTTTTTTAATAATATGCACATCCACCTTTTTAATACAAGAGATTTCGAATGAATTTTTCTGAAGGTACAATAAAAAAATAAAAATAAAATAAAAACTTCTCACAAACAGAAATGAATATAAATTATTTTAACCCTCTGAGCGTTACGAGTTTAGCCCTGAAATTTCAAAGTTCCTCAAAATGTCATGAATAAGTGGTATTTTCTTGATTTTAATTAAAAAATGACTCTCTTATTTTGTACCTTGATTCCTTTTCTTCCAATATACATCCAAACTGAAATCAAATACATTAAAAGATAGCAGAAATTTTCATGTGTAATGAATATGGAAAGCAGCCCTTCTATACGGAATTTTCTGGCCGTAATGCTGAAAAGTTTAATCTTTAAATAAATTATTTATCCATATTTAAAAATTACATATGCATTAAAACAAAATAAAAAAATTTTCAAGACGCTGAAGGAGATCTGCGACATCTACGACACTTCATTTTTAACATTAAATACATATATATTTATAGCCACAATTGCCTATTATAAGAACTTATATTTTATATGCAACAAATTATCATACTACTACAAAATACTTTAAACAGAATATTTTCTTTTCTAAAGAAAAAAAAAATTATAATGAAATCAGACATTACTGAGATAAATTTATAAATAGGAAGATAAGTTGTCCTAACTAATTTTAATGATGAACAGAAAGAAAACTGTTATTATAAGTTAAAATTTTATTTAAATTATGAGTTTTCATAACCAATTCTATTTTATATTTTTCAAGTCTTAATGTCTTCTTAATGTTTTCTTAATATAAAAGCAAGTTTTTTTTTTCTTTTCCCCCCTTCTAATAAAAAATTGAAATAAACTGTTAAAAACATTGGGAAAAAATATAAATATGACATTCCAAGTATCTTTGTAAAACATAACAGCTATAACAGGAAGAATAAGAACTATGGACACAAATAAGAATTCTAAGATCTTCAGCTAAGAATGTAATGTAGGTCTTAAAAAATATCAAACTTGACATCTAAATAAAAACTCTACATGACATTAATTTGCAGCTATGCCACTGGGAAAATCTGAACTATAGATTTTAGTGTATACATCAAAAGAGAATAATAAATTCAACTGTACACACATACACTATCTACAAATGAGAAAAATTTACAATAGTTCTGATGCAGAGGCAAGAATAAATTCTTCATAGTTAAACATCCACAACCATCTTCTTATGTATATCAGTATTGCCAACCATCTGTAAAAAAAAAAGGTAATGAGTATGAAATAATTCAGCTAAAATAACAATTTTTTACAAAATACTAAATTTTCTAAAATCTGTGATTAAAAAACTGGATGTCTGAAAATCGAAAGATTTTGGAAGAGTTAGCGTTTAGTTATTACAATTTATTTGAATTCCAGTGAATTTTATCATAGGCTGTTCAGAATAAAAACACAGACTGAATTTCAGTACTGCATTGCTTTTATTAATGTATATATGCAACATAGATGTACAAATACCGTACTGTCTTGAGGCAAGTATAACACTATTACAAAAAACAGTGTGCCCAAACAATATCAGTATAAATCAAATTAGACTGCCTGTTCTGTACGGGTATTCTTTTACCTGGAACAGCTTACAGTTCATCAGAAAAACAGATTTGCCATAATTTAACTAAACAACTATATTATCAGGTATTTAAAAACTCTGATAATTTTTGAATGATATACACTACTGTACCTTAATTAGATATAAGTAAACATTCCTAATTTGGTACACATAAAAGTACAATTAAGTGAGAAAAAATTAAAAAAAAAATTTTAATTCAAAAGGACTAATGATTTTGTCTCTGAAATTCAGAGAGAGTGCTGCTCTTTAAAACACATCAAAACATTGTCTTATGCAATGGCAATTACATTAAGCTGCAATTTTAATGACATGTAATGCTCTTACTCAATTTATGATAAAACTAAAAGTTAACAAAAAAAGTTCACATGACAATTATATTAAACTGCAATTTTTCTGACATGTAAAGTTCTTACTCAATTTATGATAGAACTAAAAGTTAAAAAAAAAGTTCTTGCCATTCACAATCATCAAAAATAGGTAGTTATTCAGTAGATGATATTCAGCATTAGGTCTCAAAGTTATTTCCACTATTATCAGCAGTTTTGGACCCAAAGAATCTGCCCCATTCTCGAAGTATTCCCTCACAGAGGTAGTTATCTAGGGAATGCAAGTTTATTTCTGAATACTAGGTTCAGCGAGCACAGTGTCTTTTTGCCAAATCACGAAATAGTACCTCTGATTGTCCTTACCACGTATGATCTTGCATTATGGTGGTGCAATACAACCTTGCATCTAATCAACACTGGCTCCTTCTACTGCAATGTATTGCTGTATCCGTTGCAACTGCTGCGAGTACAGGTCCACGTGATATAGTGTGGGTACAGAGGTAATTTTAAATGCGAGCCTCACATAATCACAGAGCGACTAATGTATGGCACATTTTGGAAGTGTCATACTAAACCACTTTTCATCACTTGACAGCACTCGAACAAATATCGGTGGCAGACACAAACAGGTTTTATTTATCATTCCTTGCTGGCTGCTGACAATGTGTTGAATACTCGCCTGATCATCTTCTACACCTTCTCTATGCCATGCATATGAAATACGACAATTTCCTCAGAAGCATGGAAGCATTTAACAAGCTCACCATACGCTTGATATTGTTCTCCTGTCTTCAAGCCTTTGTCATCCAATACCTATGGTCACCCACAGCGGAGTTCATCACAAAGACTCAGATTTCCCAACATAAAACTTTTAAAACTAATGCCTGGCCATGCATTCATTTATGACTTCCTTAAGGCTGTCATATATAACAGCTTAATACGGCTGCTGACCTTAAGTCACACAACAAGCAACTACAAACCAGTTGCTTTGATAGCTCCATTTCTGTTCAACACTGGATGAGCTGAGATTGCCATGTGTGTATATTAGCACAGGTCAATGATTAGACTCCGGAGTGTGAGTCACTTTGTTTCCTATCTACAAGTATTTTATCAAACGGGATGTCAAAAATGGCAAGAACTTCTTTGGTTACCTTATATTAGCATAATAATCATCTCATAAAATTTATTTTTCTAATGCAATATTTCTTTTATCATGTTGAGCAAAACTTAATGCTGTTTTGAGATACAAATATTTAAATTAAATAAAAATATTGCTACATAAATTTATTTTCAGTAAAATATCCAAAATATTCTATGATTTGGTCCCATTTTAGAGGTCTTCTTTCTGAATTTTTTTTTTTTTAAATTTTGCAATAAATTATTAATTTTTTACATTCATTTCCCTACCTGTAAGTTTTCACCGAAAGAAAATGTTGTAGCGATCAAAACAAATAATAATACAAGAAAATATTCAGACCTGGGACAACAGTGGCACTTGCCTCAGCTGAACAGTTAGAAGAGACACCAAATTAGCTATGAAATGTTTTTTTTTTAAATTGCAATTAATTTGCAGCTTTCAAAACATCAAGAAACACTCTTAGTTAAAGTGAAAAAACTTTATTAAAATTTTTTGTGGTAATTTATAACTATTGTATTCATTCTAGATACATCTTTCATTCTGTGTGCTGCATCAAGTTATGTAACGTTGTTAACACTATTTACAAGAATTTAAAAGCATTATATTCTTGACATATTGTTTATTTTCAGAATCAAAATATTTCTAAATCACCAAAATGGAAAGTAATGTCACTTTAAAATACAGTAGGAAGGTAGAGGGGAAAAAAAGCATTTTATTTTAATGCCATTTCTTAAACACAGTTTTAATTTATCATTATTTTTATCATATTTATCAATGTTATTATGTTTCTAAAAAAAATTGTTAAAATTTTGCAAATCTCCGAAAATTTTTTTTTGCATAAACTGATTTTGAAATCGCCAAAATGTTGATAAGTCACCAAATTTAGCGCCATATAATAAAAGAACTTATATCCAAAAAAGGAAAAAGTTGTTTTTAATGTAATATTTTATGAACTCTTTATTCACAAAAAGAAAATTACTTCAAAATCTTTGTTTCAATCGTAGCAGGGCCTCCTGCTCTTAAAACTCAAGTATCCACCATTTATTTATATTAAGAAGTGTGTGTGTGTGTGGGGGGGAGAATTCAAATGTTAACGCATCAAATTCATATTTATCAATGCATTGCCAAAAAATATTCTTCCAAAATGTTAACTCATACTCAAAATAGAAGTTGCAAAAAAACTGACAGAAATATTAGTTAAGTAAAATTAAAGCCTTTTGATGGTTTTGACCGAAATTAAGGACTTTTAAGGAGCAAAAATTGTTTCCACAAAACCTTAGTATTTTTAAGGACTGTACAAACCCTGTAAGCTTTTATCGAGTCACTATTACAGTGTATGCTTTAGTATTATCTTGGAGAAGAATCACACTAGAGCTATTGAACAATGCAGATCACTTGGTTATTAAAGCACATATCAGGTGATCTAGCTAATGATACAGGTATCAGCATTAATGGTTTAGCTATTTTCTAGCAGTTCAAAATAAGCCCCACTTCCCATATCCCACCATATGCAGAGCAAAACCTTCTCTAGATCAGCTAATTTTTCTGCAAAACTTAGCTTTTTTTTTTTTTTTCTTTACTCAACACTTTCTTTCTCCACTCCCCCCCCCAACATTAACAAAAAGAATCAATTTCTCATCCCCAGTCACAATATGCTTTGAAAATTCCATTTCATTCCTTATGAGTAGAGAAATAAAAATATACTATATTCATTGGTAATGATTCTTAGCTATGAGTCCATGTGGAAAACCAGCATGAGAAAACAGTCATTTTAAATAATTTGTTGTTATTAAATATGCATATATATATATGTGTATGTGTGTGATGATATAATTTATTTCCTTGCAGTAATTTGCTATGAGATGAGTACTTGACTAGGGAAGACATTATTTTGAAGTCACGAGTGGATTGAGGTTAGATAAATGAAAATATCAGTTACGTAGTAGAAGATGCGACGAACTTTTGAAGAATTACAAAAATCATTCGATAATCTAAATAACTCTTTATTACTTGTTCACTGCTCTACGGCATGGCACATCACAATGGGGCTAATCTGCACCCCACAATTTTGATGATGATGCATTATGTTTTTATAGAAGCAGCCACACAAGACACATCCTTTAGGCAATGAAAAGCTTGCCTCTAGGCAAGCTTAGGCAATGAAAGAGAGAGGGTGTTATTTATAGAAAAAATTTTTGTTAATTTGATTGGTTAAAATTTAAACGCAAGCAGAAGTTTACGATGACATGATGCAGAATAATGCTTCAGATATGACGCAGTTTCGAGAAAGTTATTACTAGAGAAGAAGTACCCAAATTAAAAATGAGCAATTAAGAGGCTTTTTAAATTATAATTTTGATTTACATACTTTTTATCTTACATATATGTAAGATAAAAAAATATATAAATTAGCTTTATAGTTTAATTTAGTAATAACCTTGTAATTCCTAATTTGAGTATTTAATCTCTCTTTTCTAAAAATAATAACTTTTCTGAACTGTGCCATTTCCAGATTAATCTATGTCACATGACTAATGACATAATGCTGATGGATGTAGCTTATTCGAAACTTGAACTCTTGAGAACCGAAACCTTTTTAATCTAAACCAAAACTTTCTCTCGGTAAGCTTTCATTTTGGATAATTGGGTGCTCTTAGCTTTAACTTCTGTGCCGCTTAGACACTTTGCTGTATTCTCTTCCTATTGCAATAGTATAATAAATGTAAATGTTCTGGAAATAGTCACAAATAATGTGCCAAGTTGTTTGTGGCCACAACATGTTTACTGAAAATAAAATAAAGACTTAATCTGCCTTGGCTGCCAGTTTCCTATTAATTATGGATTAGCATTCTACGCAACCAAAATTCCTTCTCTTCAAAATGGATCTACTGTGTTTCCGCAAAATTTATATTCTACACCAAGCTACATAACAATGTTTTTTTCCTGTCTTTTTTATTACATATATATATATATATGTAAGATAAAAAATATGAAAGCAAACTTATAAATTTAATTCCCTATACCTCTTATTTTTTATTTCATTTGGGAACTTCATCTATCTGTCCTAAAAATAGCACTTAAGTCTAAACTGCATCATTCAAATTACTCATGCGATCTTTCGTAACCCTTAATGCAGATGCCTCTTGACCAATCACCAAATTGCA